GGGGCTGGGGGTGAGGGAAGGGCAGCTGGGACGAGGAGGGGGCTGAGGAGGAGGAGGAGGGGGCTGAAGAGGAGGAGGGGGCTGAAGGCTGCTGCGGTGACAGCGGCGGTTCAGGTGAGGGGGGTGCTGAGGTGAACGCGGGTGGAGATGAGGGCGCTGAGGGGATGCTGGGGGTGAGGGAGATGCTGAGGTGGGGAGGCTCTGGAATAGAATTCCCAGAGAAGCTGTGGTTGCTCCTGGATACCTGAAAATATCCAAGGCCAGGTTGGAGCAAGCTGGGATAGTGGAAGTTGTCCCTGCTCGTGACAGGAGGTGGAAGTGAATGATCCTTAAATCTCCTTTCAGCCCAGCCCATTCCATTTTGCGCTCTCTCTTCTCTCACAGCTCAATAAATATAAAATACAAATACAGGGGTATTTGTGCTTCAGCTGTAAGAACTGACTGCCAAAGTATTTCTCCCTTCTGGTGACAAATCCAAAGGATTTGCTCCCCGTTTGCAGAGCTGGTTTCCAGAGAGGATTTTATCCCCATCTCTGCTCAGTGTAGATGTTTCATCCCTCAAAGAAAAAAAAGAAATAATTTTATGTGAAGGCAAATTAAATAGCAAACTATTTTCTTCTTCCTCTCCTTTTGTTTTTTTTACCTTTATTCTTTCTATAATTGAATATACCACTTAAGAAAGTGGATTCGAAGCTGTTGATGGCCAACATCAGTTATTCAAGGAGAAATGTTTTTTGGTAAAATTTTGGGGCTGTTCTGCACGTTGTGACCTTTTGGGGTGTGTGAGGAATTAATTTCCTCAACTGAGAGGTTTCTTTTTCCACAGGTAGTGGTTCCAATCCTTTCCAGCATCTGGAGAAGAGCGCTGTGCTTCAGGAGGTAAGAATAATCACAGAATAATGCAGTTTAATTAATTATCTTTTCCTTCAGGAAGTGTTGCAGAACGCTTGCGGGGAAATGTGCGTGGCTAAATTCATATAATTAATTTAAAATCACAGGGAACATAAAGAAATTAATTTTATCCACAGGTAATGAGGGAGTTTTTTAGGGTCATTAGATGCCACGTGGCTTCTGCCTTCCATGTGGACATGTGGCATCTCAGGGGGCTCTTTCTGAAGAAAAAAATGTTTTATTTTGAGGCATTTTTGCCCGTTCCAGATGGCAAAATGAGTTCTTTGTGCTTTGTTCAGATTGCTGCAAACTGAAAGATGCAAGAACACATTCTCTGAGACACCTATTTAACATAAATAAAAATTACAAGCTTGCTTGGCTGGAAACAGATTAATTTAATTTTGATGTTGAAAGAGAAATAATTATTATTGGGATATATTCAAGCAAAATTTCTGTTTTATTTCCAGGCACGGCTCTTCAATGAGACCCCAATAAACCCACGAAGATGCCTTCACATCCTTACCAAGATCCTGTACCTGCTGAACCAGGTAACTCTTAGGATCCCTCTCCATCCAGAATTAATATTTTTTTTAGTGGCAAAGTTGTTTCCCACCTCTTCCTTCCACAGAGGGGAAAAACCCCTTGGGAAAATTCCATCTCTGGAAGTTTAGAATTGTGGATTCCCTGGGAAGGAAAGGGAAGACTCCAAGGGAAGATTCCTGGTGTTTGGGAGGGAATTAGAAAAAAAAGGAGCTGGATAATGCTCTTTTTTCCTCTCTGCCAATTCCAGGGTGAACACTTTGGAACCACGGAAGCCACGGAAGCTTTTTTTGCCATGACCAGATTGTTTCAGTCTAATGATGTAAGGAACTGAGGGTTTGCCCTCTCCCTGCTTCTGTCTGGGCTTGCAGGAACTGCCAAACCCTTGGGATTTTTGGGATGTGGGAGGTAAACTTTGCAGAGGGAGAGCTCTGCAGGCAAATCCTGGTTTGGAAATAAAGGGCTGAATAATAACATGGGGTTATTCTGTGGGTTAGGGGAGGATTCTGAGTTAATTACTGCTGTAAAAGTGGGGATAATTACAAAGCCTGAATTTACAAATCAGCATCACTTAATGGTTGTTGCTTCCACTTGCAAATCACCCATCTGATTAATTCCAAACGGAATTTGAAAACTGCCTGCAGATCGATTTCATTGAGGCAAGGGATGAGAACCCCCTAAAACTCATGGAATGGTTTGGGAATTGAATTTGGGAATTCAGCTTTGGGCTCAGCAGAGTGTAAAGTCCTCCTGTGGTCTCTTCTGCAGAGTGTGAGAGCTCAGAGCAGTGTGATGGGGCTCGTTAATTTTAATTAGAAATGGTTTGCTTGTTAGAGATTTGTCCAAGGGAGGTGCAGCAGTTCAAAGATTTAATAAAATTTGTGGAAGTACAGAGGGTTGGGAATGATTCTCATATCCACATTTTTAAAAAGAATTTTTTAAAAAGGATTTTTTAAAAAAATAATTTATAAATATATTTTAAATATATTATATTAAAATATATATTTTACATAAAACATGCAAGATGTATAACATATATAAATATATAATATATATAAAATAAATATTAAATATATAATTTAAAATATTTTGTCTATATTAAAATATATATTAGAAAAATATATAAAATATATGTTGCAAATACATATTTTTTAAAATATATTTTAAATATATAATTTAAAATATAAAGTTTATTGTTTTCAAAGACCTGATGTCAACACTCCATATTTATATTTTTTCTTTAATTTTTATATATATGCTTCTATTTTTATTTTACAATAACAAAGTTATTTCCAAAGCTTTTAGCTGATAATTGTGAGGCTTTTGAGCTGCATCACTTCTTTGATAATTAACACAGATTTTTATATTAGTTCTTATTTTAGAAAATATTGATGTCTTACTCTTCTGATTTGTTTGATAGCAGGGAGTTTGGCTCTTATCCAGCCAAACTCCCTGCTGGACATGTAATTTTATACTTAAAACTTCCAATTGGAAATGTAATTTTACACTTAAAACTTTGAATTGAAAAGAATACATTTTGTTTAAAAGCTTACTTTTAATCTTTATGGTTTATTTATCTTTTAAACCTTCTAATTACCTCTGAGCTTCCTCATTTTCTGCACATTTCCACAGCAAACCCTCAGAAGGATGTGTTACCTCACAATCAAAGAGATGGCCAATATCTCCGAGGATGTCATCATTGTCACCAGCAGGTGGGACACCCCCCAGAACCCAGGATCAGCCTCTGGAAAACGGGACTACAGCTCCAGGGGTTTCCTAAAGATATTGGGACACCCAGCACCTCTCAAATGTTATTTTGTTCCCACTCTGGGGGACGAAATTCACTTAATCAAATGGGTGTTACTTTGTTTTCTTGTATCTTAAGGTGGTTTTTTTTTTAAATTCCTGTTTTGTCGTAACTTGGGCTGTGGCTTTGCTGTCAGAGCAATTAAAGAAAAGCAGAGCAAAGCCCAGTTCATTCTCCCACTGAAATTTCAATTTTTTTGACTGCAAAAATACCCATTGCAGCTGTTGCAAGAGGAAAAATTTGATCTGTTGTTGCATGGCTGAACAGCTTAAGAAATATGTGACAAACTGAACTTTGTTCCCTGTTTCTAAATCAGAATTCCTTGTAGAACAAGCAAGAGAATGAGCCAAACAAACCAGGCAATACCACGAATTTTATGTGCATTTTATAACTCTGCATTTCCCCAGGTTTTGATGTTAATAACTCTCCAATTAAACTGATTATTAAGAAGTTGTTGCTAAGCAGAACCAGAGCAGCTAAAAGAGGTGAATGTCACATAAAGACTGAGACGTGGGGATATTGCACAAGTGTTCACAGGATGTTTTTGATGGTTTCAGTTTGACCAAAGACATGACAGGCAAGGAGGATGTCTATCGAGGCCCGGCCATCCGAGCTCTGTGCAGGATCACTGACGTGAGTACACGGGGCATCAAATCCCAAAACTCACTTTCAAATCCCAAAACTGCTCTCATGAGGGATGGGTTTTACAGAAGTTGTGCAACTGCTGCTTCGTGGAGGGCTGCTTGATGCCCTGTGCCATTTCTGTGGGGCTGGAGCCCTGGGAAAGTGCAGCTGGAATGTTTGGGAGCTCCAGTTTCTGATTTGGGATTGCTCTGCTTGATTTCCTGTGGAATTTCCAGGAGCTCTGTGGGGCTGGAGCCCTGGGAATGTGCAGCTGGAATATTTGGGAGCTTCTTTGTGATCTGGGATTCCTCTGCTCGATGCCCTGTGGAATTTCTGTGGGGCTGGAGCACTGGGAATGTGCAGCTGGAATGTTTGGGAGCTTCAGCTTCTGATCTGGGATTGCTCTGCTCGATGCCCTGTGCAATTTCTGTGGGGTTCTGTGGGGCTGGAGCCCTGGGAATGTGTGGCTGGAATGTTTGGGAGCTTCTTTGTGATCTGGGATTGCTCTGCAGAATTTGCCCTATTTGTGAGCTCCAGTTTCTATCTGGAATTGCTCTGCTCAATGCCCTGTACAATTTCCAGGAGCTCTGTGGGACTGGAGCAGTGGGAATGTGCAGCTGGAATATTTGAGAGCTCCTGATCTGGGATTGCTCTGCTTGATGCCTGTGAAGTTGCCAGGAGCATTGGGAATATTTGGGAGCTTCTTTTTGATCTGGGATTGCTCTGCAGAATTTGCCCTGTGCAATTTCTGTGGAGTTCTGTGGGACTGGAACACTGGGAATGTGCAGCTGGAATGTTTGGGAGCTCCAGTTTCTGTCAGGAATTGCTCTGCTCGATGCCCTGTGCAATTTCTGTGGGGTTCACTGGAGCAGTGGGAATGTGCAGCTGGAATATTTGGGAGCTTCTTTTTGATCTGGGATTGCTCTGCTCAATGTCCTGTGCAATTTCTGTGGAGTTCTGTGGGGCTGGAGCACTGGGAATGTGCAGCTGGAATATTTGGGAGCTCCAGTTTCTATCTGGAATTGCTCTGCTCAATGCCCTGTGCAATTTCTGTGGAGTTCTGTGGGACTGGAGCACTGGGAATGTGCAGCTGGAATATTTGGGAGCTTCTTTTTGATCTGGGATTGCTCTGCAGAATTTGCCCTGTGGAATTTCTGTGGGGCTGGAGCACTGGGAATGTGCAGCTGGAATGTTTGGGAGCTCCAGTTTCTGTCAGGAATTGCTCTGCTTGATTTCCTGTGCAATTTCTGTGGGGCTGGAGCACTGGGAATGTGCAGCTGGAATGTTTGGGAGCTCCAGTTTCTATCTGGAATTGCTCTGCTCGATGCCCTGTGCAATTTCTGTGGGGTTCTGTGGGACTGGAGCACTGGGAATGTGCAGCTGGAATATTTGGGAGCTTCTTTGTGATCTGGGATTGCTCTGCAGAATTTGCCCTGTGGAATTTCTGTGGGGCTGGAGCACTGGGAATGTGCAGCTGGAATATTTGTGAGCTCCAGTTTCTATCTGGAATTGCTCTGCTCAATGCCCTGTACAATTTCCAGGAGCTCTGTGGGACTGGAGCAGTGGGAATGTGCAGCTGGAATATTTGAGAGCTCCTGATCTGGGATTGCTCTGCTTGATGCCTGTGAAGTTGCCAGGAGCATTGGGAATATTTGGGAGCTTCTTTTTGATCTGGGATTGCTCTGCAGAATTTGCCCTGTGCAATTTCTGTGGAGTTCTGTGGGACTGGAACACTGGGAATGTGCAGCTGGAATGTTTGGGAGCTCCAGTTTCTGTCAGGAATTGCTCTGCTCGATGCCCTGTGCAATTTCTGTGGGGTTCTGTGGGGCTGGAGCCCTGGGAATGTGAGGCTGGAATGTTTGGGAGCTCCAGTCTCTGTCAGGGATTGTTCTGCTTGATGCCCTGTGCAATTTCCAGGAGCTCTGTGGGGCTGGAGCACTGGGAATGTGTGGCTGGAATATTTGGGAGCTTCTTTTTGATCTGGGATTCCTCTGCTTGATGCCCTGTGCCATTTCTGTGGCACTGGAGCCCTGGGAATGTGCAGCTGGAATGTTTGGGAGCTCCAGTTTCTGTCAGGAATTGCTCTGCTCGATGCCCTGTGCAATTTCTGTGGGGTTCTGTGGGACTGGAGCCCTGGGAATGTGCAGCTGGAATGTTTAGGAGCTCCAGTTTCTGATCTGGGATTGCTCTGCTTGATTTCCTGTGCAACTTCCAGGAGTTCTGTGGCACTGGAGCAGTGGGAATGTGCAGCTGGAATATTTGGGAGCTTCTTTTTGATCTGGTATTGCTCTGTTCAATGTCCTGTGCAATTTCTGTGGAGTTCTGTGGGACTGGAGCCCTGGGAATGTGCAGCTGGAATGTTTGGAAGCTCCAGTTTCTGATCTGGGATTGCTCTGCTCAATGCCCTGTGCAATTTCTGTGGAGTTCTGTGGGACTGGAGCACTGGGAATGTGCAGCTGGAATATTTGTGAGCTCCAGTTTCTATCTGGAATTGCCCTGCTGGTGATTTTTTCACTGACCCTCCACGACCAGCCTTACCTCACAGAATAAACTCCAGATTTTTTCTGAGGCTCCTTTAAAAGTGGATTTTTTTTCCCTTTCTGCTGTGTTTATGCTCTTCCTGCAGCTCATCCACACTTCCCTTTTTCCCTGTTTTCCCCTTCCCAGGGTACAATGCTCCAGGCCATCGAGAGGTACATGAAACAGGCCATTGTGGACAAAGTCCCCAGCGTGTCCAGCTCTGCACTGGTGTCTTCCTTGGTGGGTAAATTTGGTAAATTTCGCAGATTTTTGTAAATCTGGTGGTTTTTTAAAGGCTGGGAAGGTGAATCTGCTGCCTTTGTTTTGTTTTTTTCCTCTGAGGTGTCTCTTTGTTTGACTGGAAAACAAGAAAAAAAAATATATAATGAAAAAAAATAATCAAGAAACAAGAAAAAAACCCCCAGATTTTTCTTTCTCTCCTCAAATTCCTTTCTTAACATTTGAGTACATCAATCATAATCATTTCTAGTGCAATTTTTTTAGTGCAGCCTAGTGCAAAATGCTCCTATTTCTGCAGTCAGTGTAAAACATGAATTTATCTGGGGATAAATGAAACCAGGATTATTTCTGCTCAGAGACTCCGGGAGGGTGAGATGAAGGAATCCACTCTGATTTCCCCTCCCTTTTTTTAGGAGAAAAGGCTGGGAAAGATCTCATTAATTAATATTTTTATTAATGGAAGTGGAGAGTGGTAATTTGAGACCGAGACAGAAGGAAATGCACAATTTTTAGGGTTGTGGGATAAAGAGTGGCTGGGAAACTGCTGAGAGCTTGTCCCCAATCTCAATTTATTTTACAGCACATGATGAAAATCAGTTATGATGTGGTCAAAAGGTGGATTAATGAAGCTCAGGAAGCAGCTTCCAGCGACAACATCATGGTACAGGTGTGTTTTAGGCTGTCTCTAAAAACTCTGGTGGGGCTTAGTGGAATTCTGTGAGTTCTTAAGAAAAAAAATCTTATTTTGTGTAATCTTTTAAAAGCAAAAATTGTGATTTGTGGGCATTTTTTCCAAAAAAATAATGAATTTTTCCATGATGCCAGCACAAGTTTCTTAATTAAGAGCTGACTTTGTAGTTCTCTTCCCTTTTTCCTGCTAAATTTTTGGTGGTTGGAATGCTGCTGCCCATCCCACGGTGGTTGTTGCAGAAGGGATTTGAATCAGAGCGCTCAAAAATCTTGGGAAATTCTCTCACTGCCTCCCAACGAGGGCAGAAAATTTACCAGATGCAAAAGGTGAACCCAAATATCNACCTAGAAGACCCTGGGATCGTTGTGTTTGTAGTCAAAAAGCTCTTGGACTGCATTTTAAAGGCTTTTTCCAACCTAAAGGATCCTGGGATTGTTGTGTTTGTAGTCCTGGCTGTTTTAGACTTGAACTTAAGAGGATTTTTCCAGCCTAAAATCCTGGGATTGTTGTTTGCATCCATGAAAGTCTTGAACTTGATCTTAAAGGCTTTTTCCAACCTGAAAGATCCTGGGGTCATTGTGTTTGTAGTCAGAAAGGTCTTGGACTGCATTTTAAAGGGATTTTCCAATCTAGAAGATCTTGGGATCGTTGTGTTTGTAGCCAGGAAAGTCTTGCACTTGATTTTAAAGGGATTTTCCCACCTAAAGGATCCTGGGATTGTTGTGTTTGCAGCCATGAAAGTCTTAAACTCGGTCTTAAAGGGATTTTTCCAGCCTAAGAGATCCTGAGATCATTGTGTTTGTAGTCAGAAAGGTCTTGGACTGGATCTTAAAGGGAATTTTCCAACCTAGAAGACCCTGGGATCGTTGTGTTTGTAGTCAAAAAGCTCTTGGACTGCATTTTAAAGGCTTTTTCCAACCTAAAGGATCCTGGGATTGTTGTGTTTGTAGTCCTGGCTGTTTTAGACTTGAACTTAAGAGGATTTTTCCAGCCTAAAATCCTGGGATTGTTGTTTGCATCCATGAAAGTCTTGAACTTGATCTTAAAGGGATTTTCCAACCTGAAAGATCCTGGGGTCATTGTGTTTGTAGTCAGAAAAATCTTGGACTGGATCTTAAAGGGATTTTCCAGCCTAAAGGATCCTGTGATTGTTGTGTTTGTAGCCAGGAAAGTCTTGGACTGGATCTTAATGGGATTTTTCCAGCCTAAGAGATCCTGGGATTGTTGTGTTTGTAGCCAGAGGGGTCTAAAACTCGATCTTAATGGGATTTTCGAACCTAGAAGATGCTGGGATCATTGTATTTGTAGTCAGAAAAGTCTTGGACTGCATTTTAAAGTCTTTTTGCAGATCCTGGGATTGTATTTGTAGCCAGGAAAGTCTTGGACTGGATCTTAGAGGGATTTTTCCAACCTAAAAGATCCTGGGATTGTTGTGTTTGTAGTCAGAAAGTCTTAAACTCGAACTTAAGAGGATTTTCCAACCTAAAATCCTGGGATTGTTGTTTGCAGCCATGAAAGTCTTAAACTTGAACTTAAAGGCTTTTTCCAACCTGAAAGATCCTGGGGTCATTGTGTTTGTAGTCAGAAAAATCTTGGACTGGATCTTAAAGGGATTTTCCCACCTAAAGGATCCTGTGATTATTGTGTTTGTAGTCAGAAAAATCTTGGACTGGATCTTAAAGGGATTTTCCAGCCTAAAGGATCCTGTGATTGTTGTGTTTGTAGCCAGGAAAGTCTTGGACTGGATCTTAATGGGATTTTTCCAGCCTAAGAGATCCTGGGATTGTTGTGTTTGTAGTCCTGGCTGTCTTAGACTTGAACTTAAGAGGATTTTTCCAGCCTAAAATCCTGGGATTGTTGTTTGCAGCCATGAAAGTCTTGAACTCGATCTTAAAGGGATTTTTCCAGCCTAAGAGATCCTGAGATCATTGTGTTT